GTTGGGGTTACTGAGTGGCTGCTTGTTAGGAAACAAAACTTCCAGAACACGGCCACACAGCCCGGAAGACCCACACCAGCCATCTTTAGTATGAGTGCCGCTATTACAGTATAACTGATCTAGTTAAACATATCGTGTGGACAGAAGCAATACATGATAATTGTGTAAAAGTGGAGAATGCCTTTTTCTTGTGAAGTGACAATTTAAAAGAAACATTAAAAAAGAAAGGAAACGTTCTCGGAACCATACAGGTAGTATTCTGACTTTTGATAAATTTGTGATAGGTAAACAATGCATCCTGTTTTACAGTAGTAGCACTAATTTTGCTGGGTTAAACACTGCTCCTTTTGCTTGGGAATTTAACGGCATCTGTTACTAACATATTTATTGCTCTCAGACTTTGATTAAGCGCAATGTCACATGACTGCGCCGACTTACAACATCAGTTTTGGCTGTGGTCGTTAAGTGCAACATCACGTGACTACGACTTGCAACTTCCTGATGGCTTTCCTATTGACTTTGCCTGTCGGAAGCTGGCTGTGAAGTTTGCAAATGGCAGTCGTGACCATGGGACACTGTGACCATTGTAAATAGGTGCTGGTTGCCAAGCACCCGAATTGTGATGGGGACGCTGCAATGGCCGCAACTTTGAGAAGCGGTTGTAAGTCTAGTTTTTCAGCACCATCGTAAGTTTGAATGGTTGCTGAACAAGTGGTCAGTAAGCGATGACTACCTGTAGTAACAACATAATGTGAATTTCATTTTATAGCATGTAGTAAGATGAGAACACAGTGGAATGACGTGTTTCTTTTCAATGTATTTTCTTTTGTCCATTACAACTGGTATTAAAATGTATTGCCCTTAATACTTATTTAACTGTATTTGTGGGAAAATAATGCATTTTTATAAAACAAATATAGGATCTTTTACCATAGCACAAAAATCAAATAAAATAGCCTATGCTTTGTTGATAAATGGTTACATTGAAAAAAAACCCCTTCCATTTCCTTTCTTCCTTCATACAATGAAAATCAATCAACACTATTGAAAAAGTAGTTTTCTCTGCCTCTGTCATTGCAGTATAAAGTATAATTATTGGTGATTGTACATTTTGACCGTTTATGTGGCTTAAACATATTTGTATTATTGTTACTATAAAAATGATAAAATTGAAACCAGAGTTGTAGGTGAAAGTTTTTGAAAGAGTAAAATTATCTATTTTACTCTTTCAAAATATGAAAAAGTGTTATGAGTATTTTAAGTTTATTATTATGTATGAAAGAATTGGCTATCTTAAACATTTGTTTCAACTTCTCTTGAGGTTAGCTTTCTACAGCTAGAGCTCCCTCTGCTGTGACGTTTGTCTTACTGCATTAAACCAAAATGCCAGTTCCTCTTAGCCTACCTTATCCTAAAGGACTATTGCAAGAATAAAACATTCAGGACATTTTGTATGCTGCCTTCCATTCTTGAAGGAAAAGGTAGGATACAAATGGTACTTCCCAGCCTTTTATCATTGGTTGTCTTGTTTGGAGGATTATTTAATCTTTTTCAACTGCCTGTTCATATGGTCTGATTTCTCGTTCATTGACTTACATGTCCATAAATTAATTTTATACTATAATATGAACATATAGTATTTTAATAATGCATATTTTGTGGCCTTTTTTTCCTTCCTTTTTCATACAATAAAAGTAGGAATTTGAAAGATTATATGATACTATATAGTTTATTTTGCTGATTTGTAAAAATGTGGTTCTGGTATTTAGGACATGATGTGTTTTCTCTGTGCCTTTCTTTCAATAAAGTTCTTTTTCTTTCTCAGAACTCGGATCAAAACCTATATTGGAAAAATATGGATTTCCTGCAGCTGGAACTCAGATCAGATATTATACCAATCATGCTCTCTCTTATGATCAGGCAAAACGAGTACCTAGATGGGTGATTGAACATATTTCCAAATACAAAACTTCAGGTATGTAAACATTTCCTCTGCCTAGTTGTTGAAATTAATTTCCTTATAAGAAAAGAGGTATTTCGTGTGCCATGTATGAATCATAGAACTGCATTGGAAGATTTGTTCCCCTGGCTGCAATCTTATGTTTATTCATCTGAAAGTAAGGCTTAGTACAGTGAAGCTTACTTTTGTAGAAATATGCATGGGATTATTTTCTCAGATGAATTTGGGTCTCCATTTACACATGCTTTGGATAGGTCAATTCTCAAGCCCATTTGCCTTCCTGCTTGCCTCTTGAAGGCATTTGCACACAGTAGGGTACAGGTGAGCCAGATGTGCTGCTTCTAATTGTCATGCCATTGGAAGCTGGTTTGCTTCACTAGAAGCAAGACTTCAGTAGCAGCTTTCCTTCCAATCAGCTTGCATCCAGGTGCAGTGAATTCTGATCCCATCATCCCCAGGCAGCTGACGGGGTTGGTGTCGTTCTAGAGTGTTGGGTGGCGGGGAGGAATGAAAGTAAGGACCTAGAGATAAAAAAATATTCCAATCATTTTATACCGGGATTGATGGAGTCACCTTCCCTTTCCACTGTGAGTGATGCTTGTATCCTGCTTTCCAACTGGGTTGGGCTACAGCTACCATTGTTCTCAGCATGATTTTTCTGGCTGTGGCTGATAGGAACTGACTTCCAATACAGTTCCAGAATATTGGGTCAGGAAAAGGCTGTTGTAGCACAATGAAGTGGCCAATAGGGTTGGATTCCAAGGAAGTGAATTTTAGCTTCTACTTTATGATTGAAGTCATTTTTAATGACTTGATCCTGCTTTATGTGGGCAAATCTCCAAAATTTTGCAGCCCTACTGAAAGCCATCTGAATTGTCACAAAAAAGTTCAAATCTTAGGCCACCCAGCTTTTCATATCCTCCTCCTCCTCGTTACTATTGTTAGAATTAGAATTGTCCTAATATTGTTCATGCAGGGAATCCTACAAATTCATTTATTGTTTAAGGAAGTCACAACATTAGAGAACCTCTGCCTCATGGGATTTCTGCATAGACTGTTAATTAATATTCATTTGGAATAATCATTTGAATATTTGGAGATGCTTGAGTTAAAGTATTGAGTTTACCTCTTATCTTGAAGTCTCTATTCTACAGAACTTTAGATTTCATCAGATGCTTATCTGGTTTCTTTGAATAATATCAATGGCAGACAATTCTGCAAGATAATTTATCATCATTTCCAATCTTCTCTGCAACAGAAAGTTGTATGGAATGTTGGAGGCACATTTTCTGCTCAGAGTAGCAAGAGGCCAGTGGGCCTGAACAATGCTTCAGTGAACATGAATATATGCTCTAGATATCTTTTTTTTAAAAAAATGCAAATTGTTTAAGTTGCTTTCAGTACAGAACTTTTTTGAAAAGGAAATTTAACTGAATCATTTGATATCTTCTTCCATAGGCAGTGCAGACAGAAAACATTGTAAATTTAAACCAGATCCTAATATCCCTTCAATGTTCAGTGCCATGAATGAAGATTACATCGGCAGTGGCTGGTCACGAGGTCATATGGCACCAGCAGGAAACAACAAATATTCACCAGTAGGATTGCTGCATATAGTTTTATTCCTTGTTTCTTTGAAGGGGAAAGGATGGAATATTAAAAATAATTCACACTACATTTTCAGATAAACAAGATTGCATGTAAAAATATGGTTGACAATAGAATCCATAATTCCTAAATCCATTACAGAGCAGCCAAAGAACTCTGTGAACCTTATAGAATCTCTGCAATTTTGTATCTAGGTTTATTTATTTATTTATTTATATTCAGATTTGTTACCGCCCATCTCACTGCAGAGCGACTCCGGGCGGTTTTTAGAGAAGAGAAGCAAGTGGATTAAAAAGCAGACAGAATGTGAAGGATCTAGCCGTGCACTGTAATACTGACTGATGTAAGAATTACAGATCAGTCTGCAAATATTCTACCAAACACAAGTTATGCTTTAATGTCTGACTACTTTATTCTGCTTAATTCTGAGTTCTTAACTAGTGTAGGCATCCATCAGAAACTCAATTTTAATTCTTTTTTTTTAAATAGGAAGCCATGGCAGAAACATTTTATCTATCCAACATTGTACCTCAGAACTATGAGAATAATGCTGGTTTCTGGAATAGGTGGGTGTATTTAAAAAGTGTATTAAGTGCAGAGTGAGTTCTGTTTAAATTTCATTATCACACTTCAGCCAGAATTGGAAAGAAGAATAACCAAAACAAGTAAAACACCTCAAATCAGGAAGGAAATCAGAGGAAAAAATATAAAAGTGCTCTCAGAGAAAGAAAGTGTGACATACTATTTGTATTCTGATGATCTGGCCCAAAAGCCTCTGCAACTTCTTTATCCAGTGAGAGAAATTTTGCCCAGGGCATATGGCAGACACATTAAACCTTAGTCCAGAGTTTGTGTGTGTGTGTGTGTGGAGAGAATATATAATATCTCCCTTCTTGAATACTCATGGTGCATAACAATTTAAGGCACACACAAATCTAATGAAATGGAATGAAATTTGATTAATTAGACACACACTGCTGCAGAAATAGAATTAGTTTGCTTCAAGCAAGGGAAACAGTATGATAATAATTTCTGTTAATTTGGTAGCTACTGATGCAGGCAAGTCCATGAATGGTCAGTCCTCTGTTTACCACTTGCTGTAAACACATACTGTTACCTCTACTCACTCGGCAAGGTGCAAACCAAGCACTGTTTTCCCCCTATCAGCTGAATGCAAATCCAATACAACTAAGGTGACGGCTTCCTCAGTGGCAGAGTTGAATGTCACTAAAATATCACCACTAATAACTTCCCCAAGGAAAGGAACAAATGTAAATCAATGGATACAAGTTTGAATAAATTACCCTGTGTTTTTTTCAAGATATTTGTACACTGAAAAATGATGATGCTGAGAAAAAGACTTCAGGACTGCTTCATAAGGCAGAAATCTGATTTGAAATTTTTGTATCTGAGTAAGACACCCCAATTTTTTTTCTCTTCCCTGGTGGGGGAGTTGCAGTTTTAGAATTAAGTTTCTAGTAATGTTTAAAATGGCTAGGAATCATTTTCTTTTGTTTCTCACAATGTATCATTCACCTTGAAGTAAGATAAAGTAGAAAAACAAGTAAAAAGAGTTATGATCTTTTGAAGCACATTGTCTGTTCTGTGGAGCAAAACCTAGTTAGTGCAACTCCAACCTAATAGAAATAATGACTTTCTGCTATAGAGGGTGAGCAGAGATACTTTATTAAAGAACAAGGAACCAGCCTATCAGTTTATCTAGTCTGTTTGACATATTTACAGAGTGGAGATGTATTGCCGGGACCTGACTGAAAGATTTGAAGATGTCTGGGTTGTTTCAGGACCCTTGATGTTACCTCAGTTGGATGAAGATGGGAAGAAGAAAGTTGTCTATCAGGTTAGGACTTGTACCCTGTGAACCTTGCCTCCTGATTTTATTGGCAGTTTCTTTGTGTGGACTTGTAATGAATCCAATCTTGAGGTCTCACATGCATAAGGAAAGCATGTTTGCAGGAATAGAAGTGCCCGGGCAGTTGAAGAATGCTTTATGACGTTGTGTTTAACTATAATATGCAAATAAGGGAACGCACGCAAGACATAGTCCAGAGGCTCAAGTTGCTGAACAAAGTGTAGGTGGCACCAAGTAATTCTCACCAAGTCCCTGTCCAATCTTAATTTTAATCACTTTTTTTCCTCAGAATGCTTCTGGGCCCTCTGTAAGCCCACAGCAATCACTTTGTGAATAGATAAGACTTTGCCTCCCAACCAGGAGAGGATCCACGATATATTCTCAAAGTTCCAAATGTGCCCAGTGGCCATAAGAGTTTCCTACCTTTTGACTAATGTTATTTCCTGTCTTTTGTGGAAGTCCTCAACTTACCACCATTCGTTTAACGACCATTCAAAGTTACGATGGTGCTGAAAAAAGTGACTTACGACCAGTCCTCACACTTACGACCATTGCAGCAGTCCTGCAGTCACGTGATTAAAATTCAGCCCTTGGCAATCAGCATGTATTTACAACAGTTGCAGCATTCCAGGGCCATGTGATTGCCATTTGTGACCTTCCCAGGGGGTTTCCAACAAGCAAAGTCAATGGGGAAAACTAGATTCACATAACGATTGCATGGTTTGCTTAATGACCGCAGTGATTCACTTAATGACCACAGCAAAAAGGGTCGTAAAACTGGGCACGACTCACTTAACGCATCACTTAGCGATGCAAGTTCTGGTCCCAATTGTGGTCATAGGTCACTTTTTTTCAGTGTAATTTCCTTCCTAATGAAGAATTAACAATGACCCTGTCCAAGCAGGAACAAGGAATACAGGTAGTCCTCATTTAGCAACCTAATTGGGACCAGCAACTCAGTCATTAAGTAAAGCAGTCACTAAGTGAAAAATCATGTGATCGTGACTATGCTTACGATTTTACACAAGACTGTGTACTAGCTGACTGTAATGGCAAATGTGAATGAGAGAGATGCTGCAAAGGTCGTAAATGTGGGCATTTGTCACAAAGTTATTTTTTCATCACCATCATAACTGCAAAGTCACTGTCAGAGGTAGTTGCTAAATGAGGACTACCTGCATTCCTTGTTCCTGCTTGGATAGTGTCATTGTTAATTCTGCATTAGGAAGGAAATTACACTGAAACTCCAGATGTTCTGATATAGTTCTTTCCTCCAGCTGAATTTGGTATATCTCAAACCAAGTGTCAGCAGTTTTTCTGAAGGCATTTGCTGCAAATGTAGATTGATGATCACACTTGGAATTTGAGAATACACTAGCAAAATATAAATATACTGTATGTGTGGAAATGTAAAAGAATGCCCACAGGAAGAATCTAATTTCTGTTACGAAAGTGGCAAAACGCAGTATTCCATTTTTTCCAGAGCAAATCAAAATGACAGCTTCTTGTTTTATAGATGCTGTTCCCCAGAGAGCATTAGTTTAGTAAGTTTTGTCCTGTAGCAGCTTTTTGCTTCTAAATAACCTTTTTTCCTATAGTTTTTCTTCCTCTGCTTCACTCAGATCAAACCCAGATTAAATGCTTAAATTATCATCACAGCACTTGCTACAATTTGAGCTTTTCCTCATATTTATTTTATACTTCAGTGAAATCATCTTGTTTAAGGGATTTTCATATATTTTATTGAATTGCAACAATTGTCAAAATTCCCAAAATGGATTAAGAAATAAAAAAGGTATATTTAGTGATTTAAATGCAGTTCTGTTTAAAGAAATGACATCATTTTAAGCTGTAAACCATATAGCCTTAAGCATCACACAGTAATTTCTCTCCCTCTTCCTCTCTCTCTCTCCCCCCCCCCGCTCCCCACCAACCCTGGTTTTAATTATTGACTATATGATTTGAATCTATACTGTTTATGGGAGCTAGTTCAAAGTTTGGGAATTTAAATTTAAACTTGTGCTACACATATATGAAGACAGATTTGCCACCAAAATGTCTTCTTGGTTGGACAGTTCAATTAGTCAGATATCCTGTTCTTTCTGAGAAGATGTCCTGAGCTGCCAAGACTGTCTCATTTATCTCCTCACTTCTACCAACAGCTTAAAAAGGACAGAACAAGTCATATAAAGAAGGAAATTCTAAGAGCTCTCTATAGCAGTTTTCCACTGAACAATTAGGCTTTTTTTTTCTTAATGCAAGCTTAAAACTAAATGGTGTGCAAATTAGCTGATAAAGCACATACATCAATTAATATCTATCTTGTCATTTAATTATACCTATTTACCTATGATTGTCTTTCAGTGTTAATGATGTAGAATTAGTCAATTCGATTCTGTTAAAAATATGAACAGTGGGTATTTCGACCTGCCAGTGTCATTTCAACTCCCTAGAATTATTCATTTTGGGGAACCCCAAATGTTCTACTTTCACTTTGAGCTATCATGGATATGGAACAAATGTCACTGAGTCTGGAAAAAAAAAAGATTTGTCATTTTTCCAACATCAATAACTTCCTCCTTCCCTTTCCCAGTTTTCAAAAGTCATTGGTTTCTTTTGGATTTTCATCATTTTTAAAATTGAGAACAAAATATGTGTTTATTTACAGTATTTGTAGACTACCCTAATCACTGGGCAGTGTACAGCAAAGCAAGAATTAAAAAAAACAGCCATTATGAATAAGAAACACAGTACAAGTTACACAGACAGACATATGCTCACAATGATCAATGGAATGAAAGGGTTTCAGAGCCTTCCAAAATGGAAGGAGGAAAGTGGCCAACATACCTCTGGGGAATGAGGCTACCAGAATGTGGGGTGGCCTGCCATCTAGCCCATATCCCACAGACATTCCACAAGGCGGGAGAAACCCTCAGCAGCTCCTTTTAGTTGTTTGGACCAGATGGGCAGATTCAATTTTGGCAAGGTGGTACCTGATATACTGGTATATGGCTTTATAACCAGCAGTATTAATTTGATGCAGAAACATATTGGCAGTTAGTGCAGTGACCTGAACATTGCCCCTGCAAGTTGTCTATGAAGGCAGCCTTGTGTAGTGTGCATTACAGTAATCTAGCTATGTGGTGATGAAGATGAGAGTTACTGTATTGTCACCAGGCATCTTGGTCTAAGAAAGGTTGAAATTTGATGCACTGGCTGAAGCTGGGCAAATGCCTCCCCTCCCCACCCCCCGTCTCATGCCTTTCTATCAATGTTACCAAAGTAGTGCAATGCAAACAACAATAATGTGACCCGCGTGGCATTTAAGCACTGAGAGGTGGAATAGCAATAATTCTATAAAATCCAATAAATCATACATAAAGCAATTTAAAGAAACTTAGAATATTTTAAATGCAATTAATAATCATTTTTAAAACTTCAGATTAAGATACACTTTTACCCTTTTTGAAGTGCTAGGAATTAGTGTGCAGGAGGAAGGCCCTTTTCTGTGTGCCAATCAATCAAGAATCTGTGAGTACATATCCTCAAAAAGCCTTTCTCCAGATCTGAAAAACTAATAATCTAATATATACCAGTTTATATACTATGCTTCAAGAAAGTATGAACTAATTCTAAAATGTGGAATCATTAAGTTAGATAACAATTCAAATCCAAAGTGCCAGGCTTTATTTTTAAAGTCACCCGTTGAGGGAGATGGGTGGCATACAAATTTAATAAATAAATAAATCATAGAGGCACAGAAGGTATAAAAAAGAAAAGCAGCTTGGCAAAAGCAGATGTCCTAATACAAAAGGACAGGTATTCTGGTTTTAATTGTCTTTTGAGAAGACGAATGATTAATGTGGTCTAAGAAGAGAAACTGGGGATTCTGGCCTTGGAAAAAGAGGCTAGACAATGGAGTGCGGAAGATAGTGCTAGGAAAATCATATTGACCATGAGAACCCTGGGCCAGGCTTAGAGCTGAGTGAATGGGTGCTTGATGCCTAGAAAGAAGCAGTTGGAGCCTAGTGCAAACAGCTGCTAAAGGACTCCAGAAAAGAGTTCTAAGTGGTTTTGAGAACTTTGGTCTATTAGGGTACAGAAAAAACCTTGAAGGTTTTATGTTGTATGAGTAAGTAAATACTGATTGATCAAACATAGCAAAAGTCATGCTATGGAAAATAAATAGACGGTAGCATACAAAATAGAAGTTAATTATGAGAGGCATTGGGTATGTTTAGTGTGGAAAAGGAACAACTGGGAAAATACAGTTGTCTTCAAGCCTCTGAAGGGCTGCCAAGTGGAACATTGGTGGACTTGTTCAGTGTTGTCCAGGAGCAATGTGGTTATATAACAAGGAAAAAAATGTGGGTGAGACATTTTGAAGAATTTTATAATGGTAAGAGCTGTTGGATGGCCATCTATTGGGGATGCTGCTACAGAGGATTCCTGCACTGTGGAGGGAGTTGCGGCAGATGATCACCAACCCTGACATTCTACGATTCTATGATAGGTGGCCAGGTGATACTGTGATCAAATGAATTGGAAATGCTTCCAATTGGGCATTTTCCCACTAGCTGATTGGCCAGTTACAGATACTCCTGTAATTTGTTGACTGGGTCATTATTTATATACATCAGCAGTGCTCTAGGAGCAAGTCCCTTTCATTTAATAAATGTAGAAGGCACAATTCCTTAGAGTTTTGTCAGCTGTAAAATGCATAATCAATTTGGCTCTGCCCTTCTGTGGACCTCCCAGGCATTATTCTCAATCTCTCAAACCTTCCCTCTGCTGCTTTGTCAAAAACAATGGATCTTTCAGTCAGTCAAGGTAATGTTGATGAAAGGTTCAGCTGCAATGTATTGATTAAGCTGCTGGGTCACTATTAAAAAGACCCAGTTTCAAATCCATCCTTGGCCATGAAAGCTGACTGAACGACTTTGGGCCAAACACTGTCTCTTAGCCCAATCTCAGTTACATGGCTATTG